GAGCGTGTTACCTGGGGCAGGCACCCGGCATGCACTGCAGAGACTGCCAAGGCGCAGAGCAGCCTTGGGCCCCGAGTGGCCCAGGGCAGTGCCTGTGTCCTCCGCCGAGACTCAGTCCTCCTCTGCAGCCACACCTCCCTTCTCTCCGCCCAAGATTCTCCTGCACCTGCTGCCCCCTAAGCCTCCCAACCAGAGGTCACTTCATCAGTGGCAGCTCCATGTCCTCAGAGTGGCCTCCCCGGCCCTGGTGGTACCAGGCCCCACTGGCCCTTCTGTCCCCTCCTGGAGTAGCAGTCACACCCGCCAGAGTCAGACACACAGTCACATGCCCAGTGATGTGGGAACGGAAGTAGAGTGTGTACTTGAGGGTCAGGGTGGCCTAACAGGGGCCTCTACCCCTGTGCCTCTGGTGGAATGGGGCTGTTCAGGGAGCCCTGGAAACCATGGTCCCCACATAGCAACATGGGGCGGGGGCAGTGGCTCCCTCCCCATCAGGGACACGTGCACAGACGGGCGAGGCTGGCACCCACGGCAGTGCCCGCTTCACCCCACTCTTCCTCTGCCTCCTGCTGTGTGGACAGCCAGTATGGCCAAGCTGCCAGCAGGCCCAGGCCAGCCCTGGTGTACCTTTGTTCCACTACTGTGAACAGTTGAATTAGAAAAAGATAGCTGCTGCAGGCAGAAGCATCCCTAAGGGTGTGGGACTTGGCTTCGCAAGCTAACCACAGGCTGCGTTTCAGTCCCTACCTAATCCCCTGCCGAGGAGTTTTGAGCAGTGCACAACTGTATAACTGTCCTAAGCAGCCCTCATCCTGGTCTATGGGGCAACTCTGAGGATAAAAATCACTTGAAGGCAGAGCTGAAAGACAGAAGCAGCCTGGGTCCTAGATAAGGGGTCCCCCATACCGTTCCTGGGTGGCCTTCCTCCTCTCTTTGCTTTTTTTTTTTTAGTCATTTATTTGGAAATGACTTCCAAGTTTCAGAACAGTTTCATAAGCCATACAGACAATTCCCCTCCATCCAGGCTGGCCATTTAGTGACATTCTCGGCCACCTGCTCTGCCATCCTCTCCTCTCTCTCCCATTGGGAAATGTCATCCATCCCTCCTCTGCTGTCCAGCCCATATAATGACCTCTGCTTTGGAAGGAAAATGTGAAAATGCTCCTCACATTATTTATTTTGCTGTTCTATTCTAAGTTGCAAAATTAAATTATTATTATTACTTTTTTTTTTTTGGAGACAGGGTCTCACTATGTAGGTCAGGCTGTTCTTGAACTCACTATGTAGCTCAGGCTGGCCTCGAACTTGCAGCAATCCTCCTGCCTCAGCCTCCCAAGTGCTGGGATTACAGACGTGTGCCACCACACACAGCTCTTTTGAAATTTAAACTGCTACCCTCTAAAACGCTCTGCCTGGTGACATTCAGAACACCACGTGAGCCCAGCAGGAAACCCAGCAGTGTGACCAGGCCCGCCCCACGCACACTTTACCTACAGAGTCACACTGGCTATGACACGGAGGCCCCCATGTGCCAAGGCTGCAGCACCCCTCGAGTGCCCATACATGGACAGGAAGCGCGGCCCTGGCCATGCTCTGTGAGGTCCTGGCCACTCTGACCTCACAATGTCCTGCGTCTATAAGAGGCCCAGGGCTCGGCCCTGCCTCACAGCCCACGAAGTTCCACCTCCTCACAGGTTGGCTGGCTCAGCTGAGGTGGTGCCCCTGCTCTGAGCCATGTGCGGGCCAAGTTCACCTCGAGCCATGGCCAGATACAGATGCTGCTGCAGCCCAAGCCAGAGCAGAGGCTACCGTAGACGCAGCCACAGACCAAGGAGGCAATGCCATCCCAGACGGAGACAAAGTAAGAGGCCGGCCTGGGCTGGGGCTGGGCTCCGCGGGGCCGTGACGCCCTCTCAACATCTTTTGTGCTCTCAGGGTGCAGCCGCCGTGGGTACACCCGGAGGGCCAGAAGACGCTAACTGCAGAAGAGCGAGGCCTCCGAACTCCTGCTGAAGACTTTGCCAGACCTCAAGACCGTCTTGCCACCTCTGACAATGCCACCCTGCACTGATACAGGAGCCTGCTAAGGAACAATGCCGCCTGTCAATAAATGTCAAACTCATCCCACTCATGCCTTTGTCCTTGATGGTTCGGTAGAGGGCTGGCCTGGAGGCGGAAGGGCTTGGCAATGTGGCACAGTGGCACAGAAAGGATGCTGGGAAGGGGGCCATGAGAGTGACAGCTGTCACCGGGATCCTGTCCAAAACTCAGTGACACGACATGAGGAACATCTGCTCCCAAACTGCCTACCTGTCTGACCCCTGGAGCTGGGTCATCACCTTTGAGGGCCACTGTCCTTCCACCCTGTTCTGCGGCTGGCAGCTGGCAATGAGCCACAGGGGAAGATGCTCTAAGCATCAGAGGGCCATCAGGGCTTCCTTACCCCAAGGGTATCTGGGGGTTCCCAGAGCTGGTTAAACATCTGCCAGTCCCCAAAGTGTCACACAAGTTCAATTCAAAGCTGAAATCTCGACAGTTCCTTTGGTTATACAGGGAACAAGACAGTCACCATTAGAATCATGAATTCAAGGTTTTCCTTCATTCAGCAGCCCTCATTTGTGTCCCCATTGGAGAGCAGTGGTAACTTGGCCAGGCAGCAGGGGAGCTGCCCTGCCCATTCAGTCCTCAAGTGCCTGCAGGAGGTTAAGCATTGTGCCCATGACACGAACTCACCCATCAGAGCTGCCCGAACGAATTCCCTTCCCACAGGATGCTGCACACCATGGAGGCAGATGCAAGAAATCCTACTAGGGCTCCGGGCTAACGGGCCCAGTCCTGGCCTAGGAAGGCCCACGCTCAGGCCCAACACAGACCCTGTGTCACAGTCACTTCCCGGCACTGGAGCAAGCCAGGGGTCTCATCAGTGATCCCCCAGCGCCACAGGACCAGTTCCTAAAAGGGATCGGGCCCAGCAACACCTGAGAACTCTGGCTTCTGCTCACAGGGAGAGCACCAGGCCCTCGGTCCTCCCCAGCCCCTCGAGGCAGGTGTCAGCACGCTGTGTCCCCAGGTGAGCGCCGGCCTCCACGGAGCCCTGAGCTAAACCTGGCTTCGCTTGGACTCTTGGGACCCCACACACTCCAGCAAGGCAAGGAGGAGGAAGACAGCAGGCCGGGGGACAGGTAGCCCCCCCAGGTGGACGTTTTGGGGATTTGCTTTTCTTGTATTTTGACCATATCGCTAGACACGGAGATGTGAACCTAGCTGGGCATTCCTATTTTTACCAATTGCCTGAGGGGAGACTGAGCCCCTTATAAAGTTTCTTTGTCCTGAAAGGGAGCAGCATTTAAATTCAGGAAAGGCAGGGTCACCCTTCACTCCTGCGAGGCCCCAGGACTAAGCCTGCTTCCTCTCCTATGGCCACTTTGACAAATCACCACACACTCCGAAGCTTACACCAACACGAGTTTATGACACAGTTCTGCAGGTCAGAAGTCCAAGTGGGTCTAATGGGGCTACAATCAAGGTGTCTCGGGGCTCTGGGGCAGAACCTGTTGTCTGGCCTCTCCAGCATCTAGAGCACCGTCCTCAAGGCCAGTGGCACAGCCTCTGCACACCTCTCCCTGCCTTCCTCCTCTCTCCAAAGGACCTCTGTGATCGCACGGGACCCCCCAAGTGATGAGGCCCGCTCCCCATCTGCAGACCCTCAGTCACACCTGTGCACCAGTTCGGTTCATGCATTAGCATGGGGATGCCTTTAGGGGAGGGCACTGCTCTGTCACCATGTCCCCCTTCCCTCCCCAAGAGACACCAGGACCACATCCCCTCTGCCCTCCACGAGAGGGAAACTAGGGCTTCAGCTGCCATGACTCTGCTTCCGGTCTTTGGCGGATCATCAAGCACAAGGGGACAAATGCTACACAATGTGCCCAGGCATGAAGACATACCCCCAACACTCAGATCACGTAAAACTCTAGAGTCGACCATGACACAACACCAAGGAAGTGGGGAAGCTTCTAGCATGACCACCTATGAATTCCCACCACTCGGTAGGAGGAGGATTGGGTGTAGACAAAAAGCAGCTTCTTCCTGACTGGGGATGCATTTTATGGGCAGGGCCAGGACCTTTGTGCCAGGACTGCAGCCCCTGGCCTGTGCTGCCCGTGGGGGGCCCCTTTATATATGGGCTCTGAGCACCCAGCAACCAGACCAACCAACAGCAAGAGCAGGTGGGCAAGCTGCGGCCCTTCTCCCCAGATCAGCTGCAGCCTCAGCCCGGAGCCGCCCCTCTCCCCAGCTCCTGGCACAATGTCCCGCTGCCACATGAGGAGCCCCAGGGAGCGCCCGCTCCAGGCACACAGCCCGGAGTCTGGTGAGGGCCAGGAACAGGAGCGGGGACTGAGCCCAGAGCACACGGAGGCTTACAGGAGGACATAGAGAGGCCGCCACTACAGGCATAAGCGCTGTTCTCTGATGAGGCTATGCCGGATCCACAGAAGGCGGCGCCCATCCTGCTGAAGGCACAGGAGACACACCTGTAGGAGGCAACATCGTCAAGATCTGCCCCAACCATGCTCCACCAACCCCAGGCCCTTTGCACCTGTGCTGAATGAAGCACAGCAGGGCACAGAGGGCTGGCCTGGAGGCAGAAGGGCTTGGGGACTAGGTAGGCAGCAGGACTGGAGGGAACGCTGGGGTTGGACAAGGCTAAGCTCCGCCGTGCAGCCTGAGCAGAATCCTGGGGTCCCCCAGCCCATGAACCCATGAACGTTCCCGGGGCCACCCCGCCTGCACCAGGTCCCCATGCCCACCCTGCCACCCAGTCTCAGCCGGCTGCTCTCTCCCCTCCACCTTGGTGTGGAGGCGGCGGGCCGGACTGGCTGGGAGCAGACCCTGGCTCAGCTGTGCCCTCCCCAGGTGGTGATCTCCTCCTCTCTGCAGCTGAGGAAGGGTGACCTGGTTGCCCGCCTGGCCCTAGCCCACCCCTTCACCCTGCCCTGGTGGCACGCTGAGGCCAGGGGCCTCGCCAGGAGCAGGGATGGCAGGCAGAGCCAGCAGGTGAGCGGAGCTTTGCGTGGCTGGGAGGAAGGGTGACCGATTCCTCAGTGACAGCGACTCCAGAATCGGGGGTGTCTGAGGCCAGGCACCTCAAGGGCCCCCCCTCGCCCGTTCCTTCAGCAGTGCTCCGTTAAGCGCCTGCAGCTTGGTCTCGTGCCTAAGGGGGAACCGTTTGGCCCTCGGGGTGGGCAGGGGGTGCAGGGCACTGGACCCCCACCTGGCGGGCGGCCTTGGCAGCACCCGGAGCCTCTCTGAGCCAGTTTTCTCATCTGCGAAGTGCACACCAGCAGCTCAGGGAGAACAGGCAGAACCCAAGCAAATGAGAAAACGAACCATTCAGAAGTTGCCATAAGCACCACAAAGCAAGCCGAGGACATTGAGGGTCTGACCAGCTGGGCCAGTGGTCAGTGAGGGTCGCTGGGGAGGTGGCTCAGCAGCGGAGGACTGGGGGGGCAGCTGTGTGGAGCTGGAGGACGGCAAGTTCCAAGGCCCTGCGGGTGGAAAGCCAGGCATGTGGCCGAGTCAGAGATAAGGCAGGGGCAGTGATGGGAGATGCGGTCAGGCGACGGGCGGGACAAGGGACTGCACAGGGCCCTGAGGCACCGGCAGGGCCTCGCCTGGCTCTGTCTCTGGCAATGCTGAGTGTGGTCCTGAAGCTCAGCGTTTTTCTCCAAATGCACCTGCTCTCCCATCTGTGGGGCTTCCTGGGTTCCTCAAGCAGGCCTGCACGCGCCCGGCCGGGGCCTTTGCAGTGCCAGAACTCCTGCTTCACCTCCTTCAAGCCCTGGCTCACAGTCCACCTCGTCACCAGAGCCACCCACAGCTGTACCACTGAGGGTGCCCCTCAACCCACAGTGCTGCCTGCTGGTGTACATAGCACTTGCTCCTAACCTACAGGTCAGGACTGGTAAACCACGCAGCAGACCACAGCCAGCCCATGGCCTGGTTTTAGATGGCCTGCAAGCCAAAAATGGTTTTTATGTATTTAAAGGTATTAAAAATAAGCTAGAATGTGTGCAGTCACAGAGCCTAAAATGCTCACGGTCGGGCCCTCAACAGGGAGGGGGCCCACCATGTCCATCTCATTCAGTGCCCGAAATGCTTGCTTGGAGAAAGCGCTCCTAAAATACCTAAGGAATGAAGACTGGCCCTCAGTTTTCTCATCTGTAAAATGGAGACTGCAGATGCTCGTGGGGCAGGGCTGCTGGAAGGACTACGTGGGCTCTAGGTGTAGAGGCGTTTGCCAAGGTGCCATGTGAGCAGGGACGCAGATGTCACTCCTGGTCCCGGGTTACCTGGCTGAGAAGCAGAACATGCGCACCAGGGGTCTGCAGAGCTGCCTCAGTGCCCTTGAGAGTGTGGCTTCCACCCAAGACAGGGCCTGCTGGGCAGCCTGGAGGGGCAGCGAGAGCTGTCAGGGCCACTGTCACCGGGCCAGGCCACCTCCCAACCCCTCGCCGCACCTCACCAGCTCTAGGGCTGCCCCAGTGGGCCTCAGCCCCCGGCCACCTGGCCTGCGTGCAGCCCTGCTTGAGGAACCCGGGAAGCTGGTGGGACCCGAGCAGGCTGTGGAGGGAGAGTAGATGAGCCTAGGACTGATAGCTCCTGGGGCCCAGGTCTTCAAGAAGTCCGTGGTGTCCCTCTGAGACGGGAACACACAGAACAGTTTGAATTGGGGAAGGATGTGACCAGCTTTTCATTTACAAAGCTCCCTTTAGGGCTGGGGATTTAGCTCAGTGGTTCTGCGCCTGCGCAGGGTCCTGAGTTTCATCCCTGGTACCAAAATAAGAGAAAGCCTCCTTTAGCTGGGCATGGTGGTACACACCTATAATCCCAGCACTTGGGAGGCTGAGGAAGAAGGATCACCCAAGGGCAAGGCCAGCCTGGGATACATAGTAAGGTCAAGGCCAGCCTGAACTACCCTGAACTAGCGAGACCCTGTCTCAAAAAACCAAAAAAAACCCTCCCTTTAGCCCCTGTGTGGAGAAGGAAAACGGGACTAGGGGCCACCCGGTGAGAGGGAGCCATCGCCAACAGGTGGGGGTGCTGAGAAGGGGCACAAGCAGCAG